CATATTCCACAACGTTCTTATATAAGTGCCTGGCTTGAATCTTGTCCCGACCGGATTTCTTCTTGAGTTCCGCGGTATTAAATTTGTCGTCGGTACCGGGTTCAGTCATACACCATAGCCTTTTCCCCTTGCCCTTTGCAACCTCAGAATTAGCGGCACTGCTACTCTTCTTGCTACCGATGAAAATGCTGACATCTGGTTGGTAATAATAATCGCCCAGGCAGGCATCATATAACTTGTCCATAATACCTTTTCCGTTGCCTCCTTTTCCGACCCAGAAATGGATGATCTCCTCGGTCTTAGACCCGTGGAGGATATAAGCACCAAATTGCATCATATATTTGACCATTTCGTCTGTTTGGTAGATGCTCTTGTTCAAATCTTCAAGGATCGTGCGCATTTGGGGGTCAGATTCGGGAGTGTACTTATAACCAGTGCTGAAGGTTAAGAAGTCGTTAGGTCTGCCAGCCCTGAATTCCATGGCGTCAAGATCGTAAACCCCGTTCTCAAACCCAAGAAGATGCGGGAACTCGTCCAGTTTGTTCGTGAATTGCTTGTCGGACATATAGAAGATGTCCGCACACTCCTTCATGATTGCACTCTTGAACGTGTTATTTTTAAGTCGGCGTCCAGTTTTCTTGAACACCGAGCTGCTGTCGTCCTTGTCATCATCATCATCTGACTCCTCCACGTCAGCCTGTGCCTTCTTGCTGCACTCCTTGGACATCGTAATGTACGCTTTGTACACGTCCGTACTGAGTTTGTTGCGGAGGTCAACACCACCGACGCACTCTTCCCAACGATGCCCGCCGAACTTGTACCATGTAGTGTTGTTTTTCTGGTCTTTGGTACTAACATAGTCAAACTTGTACATGGAGTACACAACCTGCGCAACGTCATAATGGCTGCCAGATAGTGACGTCATCAGAGCGGTTTGTAGGCTGGTCTCGTTGTACTTCTTGTACGCGTCAGGACTGTCCAACTTAGCCCAATAGTGCAGACTGCGGATGGTGTTGTTCGGTTTGAAGTCGTACCACAACTTTTCACATTCGCCAGACTTGTACTTCGATGAGAGTTGGCTGAATGTATCCCAGACTGGCAACAAACTTTCGTCGATGCTGTGCAGGCTTGAACCGAGTGCAATCCAGTCAGAGCGGTTGTCCGCACGTGAGGGAGAAAGCATAGCCACAAGCTGTTGTACCTCGCCAAGAAGTACTATGTTACACTTGGGCTTGGTTTCACAAACAACCTTGACTTCAGCCTTGGCACTTACACGCGCGGCATATTCGGCAACCTCCGCCTTTTTCTCCTCGAGTACAGGCAGGGTAAGCGAAGAATACTTGTTTTGAATCGAAAGGCGGTCAGTCAGATCAGATAGTTCATCTTCACAGTCTTCTCTTTCGCCGTCCTCACCCCACAACTTGTACGAGCAAGTGTACGCAGGACCTGTACCATCTTTAGTGCTACCGTACAGAAGCAGTGGGTTCTTGTCGATAACCGCTTCGTCGTACATACTCTCGAAACTGTTGCGAAACGTGACGTCAGCAAAAATTTCGGCGATCGTGCCTGATTCCAACAGGTTGGTACGGATGATCTTCTGGACAGTTGGACACGTGACCAGATCGGGGAAGTGCAGGTGAAAACCGTCTTTATACGGGTGACTCTTGTCCTTCCTCGGGGCAGGCTTCTCGAGCACGAAACACTCCAGGGCTTCCTCGTCAAATTTGACGTAATTAGAGGCTTCCTTGGTGACGGCGTCATACAATGCCTTGATGTGGTCGGCAGTGTAAATACGAGTAGCCGAGTCCTGCTTAAGATCGAAATCAATGAATATGGGGGACTGCTCCAAGTGCTTTTCAATTAACGACCACGAAGTCGTAATGGAGTTGTAAGTTTTACAAGATTTGACTTCATCCTCATTCTCCTCACTTCATCCTGGCCCTGGGTGAATTCACCCAAACTCATGATGAAAACTCTCATTTTCCTCATCTGTTTCATCATTCCGCTCATTCTCTGAGACTACGATGAGGGTTCGAATGAAGAGTCCCTTCATCCTCAACCTCATCCTCATCTTCATCCTCATCCTCATCCGCCGGGGGCCTTTACCCCCGCCTTCATGTTCCTCCTCCGCCTCATTCTGCTCACCGAGGAGAATGAGGATGAGGATGCCAGGTGCGTATGAAAAACGTATGCATTCATGCTTCACACTCATCCTCATCCGCCGGGGGTCTCTACCCCCGTCTTCATCTTCCTCCTCCGCCTCATTCCGCTCACCGAGGAGAATGAGGATGAGGATGCCAGGTGCGTATGAAGAACGTATGCATTCATGCTTCACACTTATGCCCGGCGGCCGGGGGCCTCTCCCCCCGCCTTCATCTTCCTCATCCGCCTCATCCCGCTCATCGAGGAGAATGATAATGAGGATGAGAGAAACTTACAAACATATACCGGGCTCCATTCTCGCGTTGAACTGGCCAGGTTTCGATTCATCATGTCAATTTGTTGCAACTTTTAGTTTACCCGGCTTCATCGTCTCTTTGCAAAGACAGAACAGTGATGTCTATCTTGCCTTTTAGCTTATTGACTCTCAACTTAGTATTGCTTTCGAAAGACGGAATGTTGAAGTCTGTTCTGCTGTAAGTCTCGAAGCTGTGCTCGGATGAGGACTACTTCGCGTCGCCCTTCCCGCCCGCTGCGCCTTCCCCGGGCGTCTCCTCAGCGGCCCCGGGCTGCTCGACCGGTTGTGTGTCGCCCCCCCACTGCGAGGGCTCTTCGCCGAAGGGTTCCATCTCGCCCCCCTGCCCCAAGGGCTCCTCTTCGTCCCGCTCAGTGTCGCTCTTTTCACGTTTCCCGTCGGTCGGAATAGCAATCGACAGCCCTTGGTCTTCTGCCGGTGAAGTGCTGGTGCTCTACAACAACAACCAGGAAGCAGACGATGAGGGAAACAGGGACGTAGCCTGGTAACGTCCGACAGTAAAGCACAATGCAATTGATACTGCAGATCGTATAGTTCTTTCCATCCTTCGCAAAATTACATTACCCTTCAAGGGTCTCGGTTCACAAGCGAAGTTCTACTCACTGGCAGTCGCGAGGGAAAGCCGAGCTCCTCTGGAGTCTTTGGCATCCAGCTGACGGGGTTGAAAGAAGCCGACTTCTGGACCTCTAGCTTCGAGAGAGCGGGGAGTTTCATCTGCAGAGATTGTAGATACGACTGAAGAATTCTATGATGCAGGAGGCACATCTGAGACGTGGCAGATTTGCGCATGTGACTTGCATGTTCTTTGAAGAATCTGAACCACACCAAGGGCTATAACGGAGGCGCAAGTTCTTACCTGGCTTTCTGTAGCCGATTCTTCTTTTTCTTTTTTTCTGAGGGGTTCTTCGGCCTTTTCCAGGACCTTCAGAGCCTGTATGCAGAAAAGGATCGTGTTTCAACGGTTGAATTCCGGTTGTAAGGTACAGTTGTCTGCAGCTTGTCTCTGGTCCTTTGACGCTGATCAACGAAGAAGTTTACTATGCTGAGATATACAAACAGAGGTTTCGTTGCAGATCACCTCGTCGACGAAGTCCGGATTGATGTCTTCGAGCTCTCCCCAGGCTCGACCTTTCTTGGTAAATTTCGGCGCAGTCGCTTCAAGTACAGCCGCCCTCGCTTCATTTAGCAAACCTTCTGGCAGCTTCGTGTAGGGGAACTTGTAATTCATTGCTGCAAGCCAGCTGTTTTCGTTTCAGTACACCGGATGATTTGCTTCGTCATAGACCAAGAAGTGAGCTGGGGATGCAAGTTGAGTGCTTTATATGTCGGTCATCTTTTGCTTGCAGCATCGGTCGACGAACTTTACCTTGGCATACATCGTCGTGGCACTTCTGGTAGTAGGACCCGTGCTGAAGGTCCACCACGATGTACACTGCGGGAAGAGTGTAAACGTTGGGTTTGTAGACTGGGAGAGAAACTAAGCGATTGTGCAAGTGACTACGAAGCATAAATTTGGCCTAAACAAAGGTACCACAAACCTGAAGTTTGGTTTTGGGGAGTTTCCTGAGGCTCACTGTTATTTTGCGTGTGGTGTCGGTTTACGTTGGCGCAGAACTTCGTTCCCTTGAATGAGTAGGAAAGAAAGCCCTCGTTTACGATGATGCGTGAGGAAACGCGAGCCCCTGCGTGTCCAAAGAGTGTGGTTGAAACGAGAATTTGATCTGCGTTTCTTTCTTTTCAAGCTGTGTCGGACCATGTCAAGGAGGGAGGCGTCAGCGACTGGAAGCATGCGAAGATGTTGATTCAGCGTGGTCTTTGCGTCGGACCTGTTGCCTTGTATCTTTCTCGAACCGCGGCCGTCAGGTGATCCTCCAGGCTTTTGATGAAGACCGTTCCCTTTTTGTTGTTTGATGGGGTAGGTTTTGTTGATGCTGCCGGTCCGTCTTCTGGTGAAGCGGCCTGCAAGGCAGCTCGCGTTGACGGCCCTGGCACGACTTTCGGATGCATCATTCTAGTTGCAGGCTTGGAATGGAAACCAGCACCAATTTCAGCTGATTCTTTCTAGTTACCGTACATGGATTTCGGCATTACCTCACGCCGGTGTAGAGATGGAAGCGGCGTACTAGAGACGGACACCAGAGAGGCAAAAGACCAGGTGATCTGCTGCGTTATGTTCTGCAAGACAGGGCGAAGGAGAATGAAGTCAGTTTGATGAGTTGCTTTCAAAAGCTTCCATCGTTCTCTTTTTTCTGTTCGCTTAAGCCCGAGGTATCGTCAAGCTTTGTCTTTAGTAAGTTACGTGTTTTACCTGTTCCTTGAAGAGCCTGCACGTGGGAGTGAATGGGATGCCGGGACCCTGTTGCTTCGTGGAGAAGATCGTCCTTAGGTGTCGTGTTTTTGTATAGACGCCTTGGTCTATGATGAGGGTTTGCCCCAGCCCGGAGCCCTGATTGACGATGAGCGTCTTCGCAGCTTCGTCACCTGATTCGGCCCGCCGATAAATCTCCGACGAGATCTGCCAAGGAGCGGTAGGTTGATGTTCATTCAGAGGTTTCACAGTGATTGCGCAGGCGAATGAGAGTGAACGGAATGAACCTTTGGGGTGGGCAAGTTGTATAGTCGAGGAAACGGTTTCTGGACTGCAATCTGAACTCACCTTCTCGACGAAGTACCTCATATCTTCGTGAACATTTGCAAAGCACCTTCCGTATATGTGAATAATGAGGTGTCGGCTAAACTTTCCTGCATGAAATCAGTACGTGCACTTCAGTGTGACGCAGATACTGGTTCTAGCTGCCAGTGAAGCCATCTTGTTGCTAATGTCCGGAATGAAAAAGAGTGACGAATTGAGCGTTGGGACTGACAGATCTTTGCATTTGAATAGTTATTCGATGGTGTTATTTGAATGCTTACTTGCGTACGACGCATCAAGTTCGACTATCTTTTCTCTCCAGATTCCCGTTCCGAACGTCGACCTGCACACGTCCTCGGTCACCGAGAGGAGCGTGTCCACAAGAGTGTCTGCCGAAAGTCCGGGATTGGGGCCCTTCAGATACTCCAGGTCAAAGAAGAGGTTGCACCGGCGCCCCTGTTTGAGAAGAAAAGACTGAGCGAGATTGCATAAAGAGTACTGGCAGTGAAGAAGTCTTCAACACTGAGTGACATGCTCAATAGACGAAAAGCTGCAAAGTGCTTCAATCTGCTACAGACAGATTCTAGATAGGCTGGAGAGCTCACCGTACGGAAGATTTCGTAGGTGTGCTGCCACTGAATCTTATTTGCAGCAAAATTGCGACAGGACACGTACTGTATGTTGTCAGCTTCTCATTATTGATAGATCTCTTTACCCTGTTTGTTCTGGCAGCAGAAGCAGCAGAAGATGGGATACTGTGACGGTTGGACAGGGTTTACACGCTGCCTGTCTACTTCACATGTGCGGAAACCATGCGAAGCTTTTCAGCACGCCTT